TCCTTACCCATTCAGCCATATTGTTATCAGCCTACTAGACCCAACGAGTTACAGCAACAACGAAACACTGAAGGATCCACCTATAAAATAGTGTGGAGCCTGATTGATACCGACTCGAATAATTTATCTATAATAACACAAAAGTTGATATATCTGCATACACATGTACAAAAAATCCTACCAAGATTTACAATTGAAAGTATGCCATAGAAAGAAACATTTTAACAATTGGTTTAAAATATTTATTTGTGAACAAAGTCAATTTGGTAATACTATATGTATATTTTTATATAAATTTTCTTAAAATATAAGCGCCGCCAAAATAGCAGGAATTTCTTAAAGTATGAGATTAAAATTAGTTATATGTGGTTATTTACAATATTGAATGTGTGTCAAGAAATATTATCAGACTTAAAAGGCTAAATATTTTAAAAATCAGCGTCCAGCGTGAAAACTTGATCCATACGTTTAGCAGACACACCCGCTTTTCGGTATTCTCCCACACGCCTTTCGAAGAAATTCGTTTTTCCATCCAAGGAAATCAACTCCATAAATGGAAATGGATTCTTACTATTGTAAACCTAAAGTAATTTGAATAAAATATTACGGCTTGCAAGTAAAATAATTGAATTATACAAACCTTGCCAACGTTGAGCTCAACTAGCAAACGATCAGCGACAAATTCGATATATTGAGACATGAGTTTGCAATTCATACCAAGGAGATTAACAGACAAAGCTACAGTTAGGAACTCTTTTTCAATTTTAACAGCATCTGTTATAATTTCAATAATACGTTGCTTAGATGGACGTTGCACCAAATGTTGAAACATAAGGCATGCAAAGTCACAATGTAATCCCTCATCACGAGAAATTAATTCATTAGAAAATGTTAAACCAGGCAAGATGCCACGTTGCTTTAACCAGAAAATAGCAGCAAAACTTCCACTGAAAAATATACCTTCAACAGCAGCAAAAGCAATGATACGTTCACCAAAGTTTGCACTTTTAGAAGAAATCCAAGATAGTGCCCATTCAGCCTTACGCTTTACCGCTGGCATGGTCTCAATAGCATTAAACAAATGCTCTCTTAAAAAAAAATTTTATTTCACAATACATACAATACATTCCATTAATAAACATACCTTTCTTCATGATCCTTAACATAGGTGTCAATCAAGATGCTATACATTTCTGAATGCACATTTTCAATTGCTATTTGAAATCCGTAGAAGCATCTAGCTTCAGTAACTTGAACTTCTTGGCTGAAGCGCTCCACTAAATTCTCGTTAACAATACCATCAGAAGCAGCAAAGAAAGCTAAGATATGCTTAATAAAGTAACGCTCGTTGTCATTTAATTTCTCCCAATCATCCAAATCCTTAGCAAGGTCAACCTCTTCCACAACCCAAAAAGAAGCCTCAGCCTATCAAAAAAAAAAAAAAAAAAATAGCAATAGCTTAATTGAATGAACTTTAATAAAACACAAGCTTTTCCATTAATAAAAATCAGTTAAAAATTCCAAAAATATTAGTATTAAAAATATTAACATAAACTTTAAAGAATATAAAATAAAATAAAGTTAAAAAATAATTGCACAGCTCTCATCATAAAATTTTGCGCCACTATTTTTTTCACTGAACGATTAGCGCGCAAATCGAAAAACAAACAATAAAATTACAAAAACAATTTTAAATAAATACCATGCAGTCATGTTGAGACATGTTCCCGCGCAAATTAGTCATACAATTTTTTCCATGACCTTCTAATTTTACAACAGTTTTGCCGCGCATTTCTTTATTTCACAATAACTTACCTTTTTGTACATAGTCCAAATGTCGTAATATTCTATTGGAAACATAACAAAGCGGCGAGGGTTTTCTTGCAGTAAAGGCTCAATAGAAGGATCGAATGGAACCGGAGCCTTATTAGCTACTGCATTGACGGAATCATCAGAAGCTTCAGCAGAATCAGGTTTAGTGACCATCTCTTCGTCCTTCATCATTTTACGAACATTAACGTTCTCCGTCAAAATTTTTCTTGGACTCTAAATATAAATAAAACACAAAAAAATTTAATAAGCACTTGAAATGTTAAATAACTTTTATTCCACACATATACACTTTAAGCATTATATATTGTATATACCTTAAGAGAAACCTTATCAAGATGATCAGTAATATTTTCTTTGCCAACACCAGCCATTTTGTTTAGTTTGTTGATCAGATATCAGATATTATAATCCAAAATTTAATTATTTAAAATAACTCAACTCGTGGACAATAAATACACAAGTTGACACCTCGACGTTCACAAACAGAATAGCAATGCCGGTTGGTGCGATTGCCCTTGTATGAAAGCGCGCATTTAATTTTGGCGCGATGTAAATTTTCATGCATTACACAAACATTGTGTAACTACACAATAACTTTAGACTTGTTGCTTTTCAACTACTTATACAATTCTTTATTGTATATTGACTTTTTCATACTTTACGCCACTAACATTTTAAAAATCAATCTATATAAGAGCATAATAATGAAATAATAACGTTCTTTCTCAAATCATTCTTAATATGCAAAACTTCATTTTTGTATGTGTGTACTTTCACACGATGTAATGTTATTAAAACTACAGCGAAACAGCTACAGTATGATATAAAAAAAGATGACTGCACTTGCAATTTTACATAACTTATTACATAGTATATATAACAACATATAATTTTTAACAGATTGTTTTTAACTCATTTGAAATATTAGTATTCAAATCATATGATCACAATTTTCCAAACAATTGCATGGCATAATTTCTTATTGTTTACAATTGTGTATTTTAACTAATGCTGTTTCTGTCTACTACGCAAAAACACTACATACCTTGTTTAACATTGTTTGACGTGGATACATTTGAGACTTTAATTTTTTCATCATAAAACATGAGTGACAAACATCAAGTTTAAAAGACAGAAATTTATGGGTGTATTAGAAATTAATAGGATTCGGTCAATTATCTGAAAAATTGTTGTATAATTAAAAATTGAAAAAAAAATTTTAGATGAAGTTTTTTATTCAACACTGTAGTGTGAATAATTGACAAATGATTTATGGGAACGTTATACCTTGAGTTGTCGATACTAAAGTATTAAAATTAATAACGCAAACCCTATTTTTCAAAATAATTGTTAAAGTTGGATATCTAAGTTTATTATAACATACTTAAGTTTAATTTTGTTCACTCTATATAGTAAATAATTGCTGGAATGTATTTAATGCAAAATTCATACATTCAAAATAGCGTTTTAAATGTATAATTATATTTTGGAAAATAGATCTATAACCTAGAGCTTTTTCATTAAATAAATATAAATATTTTGCACTTTTCAATTCAATTAAATTAGAAATTATTTCAGCATACAAATTTCACGCTACGATGCTTAAAACTTTATTTAGTACTTGTTCATGCTTTTATTTATACCACAAAACAGTTTTTATTAATTGTATTGAATTTTACTCGAAAAATATTAGTATGTATATACTTATACAGTATAAAATAAAAACTCGCTTCCATAGAATTTCTCACATTACTTGACTTTGGGCACGGGAATAGGAAATAATAAAATATAAGTATTTATTTCAATTCTTCAAGTGCTTACGGAGACAGACTACTATTAAAAATAATTCATGAAATTGTGTCGATGGTTCGCTTAAAAGTTCCCAAACATGTGCTAACTGATGAATCAAATTTAATATTTTGACTTTTAGTTGTTATTAATATATTTTATATAAAATTAAATATATATTTTTGTAAATATGCCTATCAATTGTGCTGTCGGTTGTGGCAATAAAGCAGTACTAAAGGTAAAAAAATGTAAGCAACATTTTGTATATTAATAATAAATCAAGCGCCCCAAAACAGGTGATCCATTTTGCAAGGAATGTTTCTTCAATGCCTTTGAAAACGAAATTCATTTTACAATTACAAATAACAAACTATTTACACCCGGATTAAAAGTTGCGATTGGTGCCAGTGGAGGTAAAGACTCTACTGTTTTAGCCTACGTACTTAAAACTCTAAATGAACGCTACAATTATGGAGTTGAGCTGACGCTGTTGTCAATTGACGAAGGTATAACTGGCTATCGCGACGATAGTCTAGAAACTGTCAAGCAAAATCGGGATGATTATAAAATGCCTTTAAAGATACTTTCATACCAGGAGCTGTATGGCTGGACAATGGATAAAATTGTCGAACAAATTGGACGTTCAAATAATTGTACATTTTGTGGTGTTTTTCGTAGACAAGCTTTGGAGCGCGGTAACTTAAACGAATAAATTTTTTACGTATAAAAGTTGCTATTTATAAACAAAAAAATTTATATTGACAGGTGCTAAGCTTCTTGGTGTTGATTGTATAGCAACGGGTCATAATGCAGATGATATTGCTGAAACAGTACTTATGAATATATTACGTGGAGATACGGCCCGTTTACGTCGTTGTACTAATGTAAGAACTGGTGGTGGTCAGAATTCAATACCGCGCATTAAACCACTAAAATACGCATACGAGAAAGAAATTGTCATGTATGCACATTACAAAAAATTAGTTTATTTTTCAACGGAATGTGTTTTTGCACCGAATGCTTATCGTGGCCATGCACGTGAGCTGTTAAAGGATATGGAAAAAGTTGATCCAGAAGCAATTTTGAATATTATACATTCGGGAGAGCAAATGAGATTTAACGATTTTGTAAAGCAACCAACACGAGGTAAATGTGATCGATGTGGGTTTCTTTCTTCACAGCAACCTTGTAAAGCTTGTACACTGCTTGAAGGACTAAACCGAGGATTGCCGAAATTGGGAATCGGCAAAAAATCTAAGGGCGATCGTATGATTGCAAGCCAGGATAAACAACTAGCATTAAGAGAAAAATCAAATTTAGTAAAAAATGATTTTTAGATTCAGTTTATTCTAGTTTAGTTTTTATTTATTCTTTTTATATAAATATAAAATTAAACAAAAATTATAAGACCACTTTTTCTTCTATTTTTGGCTGGATATATTCACATAAATTGTACGTGCATTTATTATAACACGTTAACATTGCGTCGGTCACAGTTCGCCCGATATGTGATACGGATACTATTTCCATTTGTCACAGCACGTCAATATCTGAAAATAAAATTTTATATATTATACATTTTGACGCAAATGAATTAATAAAAAATTACTAAGAATAAAACTCAGTGCCAATATGTAACCATGATACATAACCAGTTAAATTAAACGCACTCAAACCAAAAGAATATTGGATAAGTTTGTTTATATTAACCTTTTTTATGTATGTCTGAGAATGGTTAAAAGTATCATCAATGAAAGCATATAATGAAAAAACAGGTCAGAATAAAAATTTAATTACCTCAAAACGAGCTAGCAAACAATAGTGCCTATTTAAACTCTAGTCCCATGTTCGCATTTTTTCAATTCAAGCTCAGATCTAAAAAAAAAACAAGCATGGATTAACACCAAAACTTTAAATTTGTGTAATATATTATAAAAAATGTATAGTATATCAGTATAAATTGTTAATTCTTGGAATCACAGTGATTCATAAGAGATGTCAGAAAATAAAATATATATCATCAGGGATAAACTAAATAAATAGTAAAAAAAAATATAGTATTACCTCACATGATATGGTTTCCCTTGCATCAACTAAGTGACGTTATTGCTGAAACCTGTAAAACAGAAAATCAATTATTTCAAATCTAATAAGTTACTAGTTTAGAAATAAATAATGTTCATTTCACTACATTGATGCACCGCAAGTTCATTATAAGGCTTGGGTTTTGCTTATGTGAAAAAATTTATTCTTCGAGTTTTTAAATAGCACTAAAACAAGGTGAAAGTATTCCTTTTAATAGCGACTCTAGACTCGACAAGTTTTAATGGTTGGTTTACTCACCTCTTTTGCGTAAAGTCCACGAGAGTAACATTCTTAAAAAAAAAAAAAAAAAAAAAAAAAAAAAGAATATTAAATAAATTTAAGATATTCAATAACATCAAAAATCAATTTATTATAAAATGTTACAAGTCTTCAGGCAACGGCGATTACCTAACAAACATTGCCGTTTTAATAGAATTTGCGTTCTTATTATGACAGTGTACGAGTTATACGATAAAACAAATATATTCAAATCGTATTTATATGCACTGCCATAATTTAATGACTTTGAATATTGTTACTAAATTCTATAAAAAGTAACAATGTCTGTGTTACCTCTTTCAAACTTTCAGTAATTCAATATAGCAAAGAGTTCGTCGTTTAATGAAAAATTTATTTATTCATCAAACGTATACATATTTGCAATTAATTTTTTTCTAAATTATGCATGCTTACTTGTAAATTGTTGATTACAACAAGTTCCCATCTAAATTACAGCCAGTTATTTACTCCTCGAAGCGTGTACCACACACCTCGAGTCAAGATTGAAAAACGTGTGCTGACGGATATTAAAATGGCAGCTGCGGCTTCGTTAAGGAGCAACACGTTTGAACGAAACTAAAAATGTAACGAAGGCAGTGTTGAATAAGGCAAAAAAGACATGGATATATAAAAATGTGAAAGTAGACGGCACAATACACGAATGTGTTGCTTGGAGACGAGTGTATTATATATACTATATCTTGTGACTTTGTCAGGAGCAACAATTAAATTACTATGTTTAATTAGTATTTTAAACAATTTTTACAGCATTAGCGTTCTATGTTCATTAAAAATTATTGCAGTATATTCGTGTTGTTCTTTTTCATATAGAATATTGTAATAGTTTATTCACAAATTATTATTAATTAATATTTAAACATTAAACTCATGTTATTAGGTGCTTTTGGCACCTTTTAAGTGTCATAAAAAACAGCAAGTTGTTTGCTTAAAGTTGCTAAAATGTACGCAAAACAACAACACTGATGCCTTTATTTAATCATCTGATTGTGAAGTGGCCAAACATTTAAGCAACTACAAAAAAAATGTTACCAGCGCAATAAACGAACTATTATGAATCTTCATTGGAAATTTCAGCGAATTTTCCAGTCATATGCCAAAATATTGTAAACAAAAGTTCAAACAAAATTAAAAAGTAACACAAGTTTCAAAATTTTAGCAATGAAATATTTTAAAAATACGCAAAATTGTGGAAAACAAATATTTTAAATATATACAAAACTATAATGTACTCCTAACATTCAAGAAAGTATAACTGAAAAGTGGTTTAAAATTCTTAACTTAATTGTTGCTAACAAGTTTACACTTATTAAAACATAAATATTCTAAACCACTATTAAATTTGTTGTAAAAGGAAATTTCAAAATTTTCTGCATTCTGAACATTGATTTTAGTTCATTATTGATTTTTATTTTTAATTTTTACTTTATTATTTATTAGGAACTTAGTTTTTTATAATGTAATTATAATTCTTTATATATTAAATAAAATATTATATTTTATAATTTAAATAAATTATTAAATAAAATATGTAATTAAAAATAATATAAGTACAAATTCACACTATCGTCGTAATATATAAATACCTTATATATGGAAAGTAATTTAACGATATAATGAGCGACTAAATAATACGACAAAAATGCATATATTATATCACTGAAATAAATATGAAGATTAAAATATACTTTTAAACTAATAAATTTGTAATCATCATATTCATTATGAATATATTGTAAATTTTCATTATATAAACAAAATATTAATTTTTGTTGTATGTAAAATTATACTACCTTTAATAGCAACCTTGTATTTAAATGTTGAATTAAGAATTGACAAATCTAACGGTAGTTAATATCAAAAATATTCATTCATTTATTAAGCGTCAAGTTTGGGAGGCAAAAATTCTGCGTGAAATATGATGTTATCTGATAGTATAAATATGTCTTTGGGTAAAATTTGATTCAGTGTTTTATATTTAATTATCTTTCATAATCAAATTACTTTTCATTATTTACAGACGAATACATTTTGAAAAATAATATTCAAGCGTTTTCAGGATCTCAATATGATCGAAAAAATTCAACTAAAGTAAAAGGTGATGATTACATATATATTATTGAATCGGACGACGAAATGGATGAGGATAATGAAGAGAGATTTAATCGCATTAATATACAAGAGTCGTCTAATAATAAAAGTGATACACAGCTCCCCGAGCACATTGACATGACCGTTCAAATAAAAAATTCAAGTAATTTTGCAAAGACATCATCTTTAAACTGGCGTTTAATGCAAGCAGGGAGTAATGACAATGCAGTAACTAATGCATTACAATTTCCAACAAATGCTGTAAAAAATGGTAAAGGAAAAAAACGTAAAAATAAAGTACAACAAAAT